CACACACACACACACACACACACACACACACACACACACACACACACCCCGCCCCCCTGGTATCAAGATGAAATGAATAAATAAAACTAATGCAAGTATATATTCATTTTAAATGAAAGCCAGAATATGTTATAAGGAATAATCTCTTAGTGATTATTTAATTGTACAATATTGCATTGCCCCACCCATAATTACAGTACTGTTTATCACAATATTTCAACTATAATTACGGTGACCAGATGTCCCATTTTTATAGGGACAGTCCCGTTTTTTGGGACTTTTTCTTATATAGGCGCCTATTACCCCCCACCCCCTGTCCCGTTTTTTCATAGTTGCTATCTGGTCACCCTAACTATAATTAATTTTCAGAAGGTAGAAACTAGTTCTCAGTTTATCCTGTTTAAGGGCATTACCTCTCTGAGGTACTGGGTATCCTCAAGTGCCACTGAAGAAAGGCCCTCATTCAGCAAGGTACTTAAGCATATGCCTAACTTAAAGCATATAAATAGTTCCACTGAAATCAATACTCATGTGCGTAAAGTTAGGCACGTACTTCAATATTTTGCTAAATCAGGGTCTTTGGCCCAGCTTCTCACAGGTAGGTAGGCTCCTAATTTCCAGTGAAATCAGTAGAAGTTAGGAACCTAAATACCTTTGTGGATCTGGGCTTTAGTGCCTAATCCAAAGCCCATTACAGTCAATGGGAGTATTTCCTTTAATTTCAATGGGATTTGGATCAAACTTTAATTAAGATGAAGGGACTGATCATCTTGCAGGTGGTATGCAGTAGCCTGTATGGCCATGCTCAAAAATGAGATTAAATCACAAGAAAAGCCAGGCCATAATTCTGCTTGCAGTTATTCCTGTGCAACCATGGGCAGAGTCAACCAAAGGTACTACCATGAAAACCATTAGTTAATGCTATTCTAATATCAGAATTACACATTGTGATTACAGGTTATATCCAAGCCTGCAGAGGACTCATGATTGCTGCTGTCAGTCTTGGATTCTTTGGCTCCATATTTGCACTGGTTGGGATGAAGTGTACGAAAGTTGGAGGCTCAGATCAGACTAAAGCTAAAGTCGCTTGTTTAGCTGGGATGATTTTCATACTTTCTGGTAAATATGCAATTCTAACTTTAAATATATATTTGAAATCACATAAGACCTCATCCTACTCCCACAGAAATCAGTGGCACAACTCCCAATGGCTTCACTGGCAGTAGGATCAGGCCCATAATTATTATACTGATTCCACTCAATGATTTATTCATCTGGTGCATTTTAGGGTTGTGCTCTATGACTGGTTGCTCCCTGTATGCGAACAGAATTACATCTGAATTCTTTGATCCTACTTTTATTGCACAAAAGTAAGTACTTTTTTATGCCCATGAATTTTTCAAACAAATTATGCCTTAGATTGTTTAAAACACATACCAAAGTATGTTTGTAAAGAAAGTAGATGTTCCCAGCCCCAGACACAGGAGAAATGTTGGGTCTGTAACTTTCTTTCCTCTTATTACTCAAATCAAAAATAGGAAATTGTACATAATAAACTTATTGGTGAACTTAATGAACTAACTAAAACAATTACTTATGTCAAGCCTTCCCATATCACTACTAAAGCAACCATATTTCTCTGCCTAAAGGCATAGTCATGTTCTACAGCAGATGCAGAGGAGTGATTCAATTTAGCTGAGCTGATTCTTATGTTTATATTTGTCACTAATTCAGAAGAAAATTTCAGAAGATTTATCAGAAGACAGAGATACCCACTGGGCAAATAATTCAATATTCATCAACAGATGAAACAGAAATGCTCTCTTATGAACATTTCATAGAAAGTATGATTTTCACAAAGGGATAAAACCTTAGCTTAAATTCTAAATCATCTTGCAAATATTTTCTAAAAGTATTCTTCAGGGAAATTTTTTTTAATCACGAGTGCCTAAAATTTGGCTTATAAATCCTTATTTAGGCCATGATCCTATAATATATATTTAATAGGACTGTTGATTAATCGCAGTTAACTCACGCGATTAACTAAAAAAAATTAATCACGATTAAAAAAATGAATCGGGACTAATTGCAGTTTTAATCACACTGTTAAAAAATAGAATACCAATTGAAATGTATTAAATACTTTGGATGTTTTTCTACATTTTCATATATATTTCATTCTGGGTTGTAATTGAAATCAAAGTGTATAGTATTTTTTATTACAAATATTTGCACTGCAAAAATGATAAACAAAAGAAATAGTATTTTTCAATTCACTGCATACAAGTACAGTAGTGCAATCTCTTTGTCGTGAACTTTAAACTTACAAGTGTATTTTTTTTTTGTTACATAACTACATTCAAAAACAAAACAATGTAAAATTTCAGAGCCTACAAGTCCAGTCAGTCCTACTTCTTGTTCAGCCAATCGCTAAGACAAACAAGTTTGTTTACATTTACAGCAGTTAATGCTGCCCTCTTCTTATTTATAATGTCACCAGAAAGTGAGAACAGGTGTTCAAATGGCACTTTTGTAGCTGGCATTGCAAGGTATTTACGTGTCAGATATGCTAAATATTTGTATGCCCCATCATGCTTCGGCCACCATTCCAGAGGACATGCTTCCATGCTGGTAATGCTCGTTCAAAAATAATGTGTTAATTACATTTGTGACTGAACTTCTTGGGGGAGAATTGTATGTCTCCTGTTCTGTTTTACCCGCATTGTGCCATATATTTCATGTTATAGCAGTCTCAGATGATTACCCAGGACATGTTGTTTGTTTTAAGAACACTTTCACTGCAGATCTGACAAAACACAAAGAAGGTATCAATGTGAGATTTCTAAAGATAGCTACAGCACTCGATCCAAGGTTGAAGAATCTGAAGTGCCTTCCAAAATCTGAGAGGGACGAGGTGTGGAGCATGCTTTCAGAAGTCTTAAAAGAGCAACACTCCGATGCGGAAATTACAGAACCCAAACCACCAAAAAAGAAAATCAACCTTCTGCTGGTGGCATCTGACTCAGATAATGAAAATGAACATGCATCGATCCACACTGCTTTGGATTGTTATCAAGCAGAATCTGTCATCAGCATGTCCCATGGAATGGTGGTTGAAGCATGAAGGGACATATGAATCTTTAACGCATCTGGCACATAAATATCTTGTGAAGCCGGCTACAACAGTGCCATGAGCATGCCTGTTCTTACTTTCACGTGTTATTGTAAATAAGAAGCAGGCAGCATTATTTCCTGAAAATATAAACAAACTTGTCTGAGCGATTGGCTGAACAAGAAGTAGGACTGAATGGACTTGCAGACTCTAAAATTTTACATTGTTTTATTTTTGAATGCAGTTGTTTTTGTACATAATTCTATGTTTGTAAGTTTAACTTTCATGATAAAGAGATTGCACTACAGTACTTTTATTAGGTGAATTGAAAAATACTATTTCTGGTTTTTTTACAGTGCAAATACTTGTAATAAAAATAAATATAAAGTGAGCACTGTACAGTTTGTATTCTGTGTTGTAATTGAAATCAATATATTTGAAAATGTAGAAAACATCCAAAAATATTTAAATAAATGGTATTCTATTATTGTTTAACAGTGCAATTGCACAATTAATCACTATTCATTTTTTTAATCATGCGATTAATTGTGATTAATTTTTTTAAACGCTTGACAGTCCTAATATTTAATTTTAAAACTGTGGGACTATTTGTGGTCTTAAAGTTACACAAGTGTGTTTTTGTAGGACTGGGACATAAGGCACCTAAATATAAGTGACCTGATTATCAGAAGTGATCTAAAAATTCCCATTTAAGACAGTCGGCACTGCATGTGCTCAGCACCTATGAAAATCAGGCAATTTATATTTAGATATCTAAGTATGGATTAAGCGGCCAAATTTTAGACACTCAGATTTGAAAAAGTTGACCTTTAATTATGTCTTATAGATTTTTCATAATTTTTATTTTCCTTTGTAATTTAACTTTATACTTAAAAACAAGAATTTCAAAAACCCGCTGCAGTGTTTCCAGTTTAGTTCCATGAGCAGTCACTGATTTTTCAAGCAACTCAACAGAAAACTTCCTAGTTCACAGCCTAAATTCCATTTCACAAAAAGAATGCTGAACATTCTCTGTCTTCTTGGTAAATATCTCTTCCTTATTTTAACTAACTTACTTAAGATCTTTAATGAGATCTGTGTCAGTGCTAGAATTTCCACTCATTGTTCTTTTTTTTTCTTGACGAATTAATATTGGTACACCTCTACCCCGCTATAACGCGACCTGATATAACACGCGTTCGCGTATAGCGCGGTAGCAGCGGGGCTCCGCCGGCAATTTAAAGAGCCCGGGCTCCCCGCAGCGGCCGGAGCCCGGAGCTCTTTAAATCACCGCTGGAGACCTGCTGCCCCTACCCCGATATAACGGGGTTTCAGCTATAACACGGTAGGGATTTTTGGCTCCCCACAACCACATCATATCAGGGTAGAGGTGTATTTTCTAATTTCTTCCACAAGCTCTGCCCGCCTCACTCATTGAGAGCCTCATCCTAAAATTGCAGAAATCAATGGGAGTCTATGCCACTGGCAGAGCGATGGAGTGCTGGCTGGATAGCCGTGTGGCAATTATCCATCAGGCTCAAACTTACTAAGGAGAAACGTCCTCCTTATTGCCAGAATTCCCATAAAAAGATGGTGCAAAGGCAATCCTGGCCAGTCAACAAGAACTGATTGTGTAGGTGTTTTCTTCTAGAGGCAGGCAGATTTTCTTGTGGGAAGTATACACCGCATATTTGCACCTGCCAGAACCATTGTCACCCTTGTATGCAGCAGGTTGTTTTCATCATTCATAGCTCTCCATGAAGTTTTAAGGGTGATGGCATCCTGTCAAAGTTTTGGATGAGCTATATGAGCCAACACACATAAATTAGATGTCACATAATGACACGGAGACTGTATTCAGCTCCAAATCAATGAGATGCGGGTGCCAACTTCTGCCCCCAAACTGCTGCACAATATTTCATTGGAGCAAATATCAGCTTGTCATATGCAGCTGACAAGTACACCAGAACAGCACCAACCTTCTTACTCTTCTCAAAGGCATCATCAATGTCTTGTGTTAGGCAAATTACTTGATCTTGGGCCAACCTGAACAAAGGGCAGTTGTGGTTTGATAACTTTGCTGATGCACATCAGACCCAATCTATCCATAAACTTGTATGTAACACAAAGGAGAGAGCTGGGTTGACAGCCCTTAGGATCTTCCAGCAGTTTTTCTGGTTTCACAATGGCTACAATCTTTGCCTGCACCAGATTTTTGGGACTCAGTTGTCCTGGAAACATCAATTTGAGGAAATGAAGCAGACAGCTTTTCTCTTTTGGGCCTAGGTGAATGTTATCCAGGCCTGGCTCCTGTTCTCATAAGCTTCATGGTCAGGTACAGCTCTTTGTCTGAAAAGGGAGCTATCAGGTTTGAACATGCACTAGGAGCCTATCACCTCTCTGTGACCCCAATTTTGACCATACAACTGAATGACTTATTCAAGTTCTATGTACAGCCACTAGCTGGGATGTAACAGAATTTTCAGTGACTAGAAACTCCTTTTTGCCAAGGCTGGAATCTCCAGATAGACTGCCAGGCTTTCTGACTAGGATGAGTAAAGACCATCTTTGTGACTGTCTCTCTTTATTAAGCACACCTGATTTGATCCAGCAATTGAATGAGTTCCTCTCTCTTATTAATGGCCTCCTGTTCAAACCAGCAGATGTGAATTCCTGTTTCCTCTTACGACCATCCAGAAAATCCTGTTGGCAATAGCCTCTAAGGACTGATATTCTAATTTATGGAAAGTTTGGTAGGACTCATTTATGTTGTCTGCACATGCCTGTCAAGATAACTAACGGTCATCTCTAGTTCTACTTGAAAGACCTACCACCAAGCTTTCCAAAAATTACACTGGGCCTTCTGTAGACTGTTCGTTGTTGGTATCCACTAGCCCATGTGATCAAAGACAGCTGAGGCTAAAACTTTGAAAAAGCTTGAAGCACATTTTGCTTCATGACCACTGGCAGCAGTTGCCTGGAAGATGAAAAGGCTGTCTTAAGTGAAGAGTCAGCACACAAATCATCACATGCAAAGGGGAAGGCAGAGGGATACCGGAATAAAGCCAGTAGGGATAGGTCAAGCAATGAACTTGTTTTGGAGTATGAGTGGTGTGTCAGTTGACTGCCCTCTCTCCCTCTGCAACAGGTTTTGGTATTCTTTCCTTAAAAATTCTTTCCTGTGTATATACTTGCATACCTGGACCTCAGTAATTATTATTCTGCTGTTACAGGATGGCTGTGTGCCTTCCTCCTCTT